TTGACTTTTTGTTTTGTTTTATGTTTCTTGAGTATGATTTCGATAACATAACGCTTCTAAAATTGAAACTGTTCCTTGTGAAAGGATATATATATTACCCTGCAAGGAAAGCGTGATTGCCCAGTAAGAAAAGCGTGATTGCCCAGTAAGACAAGCGTGATTGCCCAGTAAGAAAAGCTTGATTACCCAGTAAGAAAAGCTTGATTACCCAGTAAGAAAAGCTTGATTGCCCAATAAGACAAGCGTGATTGCCCAGTAAGAAAAGCGTGATTGCCCAGTAAGAAAAGCTTGATTGTCCAGTAAGAAAAGCTTGATTGCCCAATAAGACAAGCGTGATTGCCCAGTAAGAAAAGTGTGATTGCCCAGTAAGACAAGCGTGATTGCCCAGTAAGAAAAGCTTGATTACCCAGTAAGAAAAGCTTGATTACCCAGTAAGAAAAGCTTGATTGCCCAATAAGACAAGCGTGATTGCCCAGTAAGAAAAGCGTGATTGCCCAGTAAGAAAAGCTTGATTGTCCAGTAAGAAAAGCTTGATTGCCCAATAAGACAAGCGTGATTGCCCAGTAAGAAACGCGTGATTGCCCAGTAAGAAAAGCTTGATTGTCCAGTAAGAAAAGCTTGATTGCCCAATAAGACAAGCGTGATTGCCGAGTAAGAAAAGCGTGATTGCCCAGTAAGACAAGCGTGATTGCCCAGTAAGAAAAGCGTGATTGCCCAGTAAGAAAAACGGGATTTCCCAGTAAGAAAAGCGTGATTACCCAATAAGCAAAGCTTGATTACCCAGTAAGCAAAACGTTATTTTTTTCCTGCGTAAATGTCAACATATTTCACTATATATTTCGAGCAAATGATTGATTGGTTGATTGATTGATTGATTGGTTTTACGTCCGCTTCACTACCGAGTAGTTGGTTATTCAGCAGACGAATCGAACAAATATACCATAAAGTAAATAACCTCAATGATGTTTCTATGAATACGATAAATGTAAAGTTATATATTTAGTTATCCTTTGGTTAACCAAAACTGCACAATAGACAGGTTCTGCATTTTTACAATTATTTTTATTATATTTCATGTATTGCTTGTACAGAAAGACTAAATCTCAGTACGTAGAAGTTATCATGTAGCAATATGAAACACATATATTTAAACACCATTTTAATTATCATGTGCTTAGCAAGCTCTAAATGTGATAATAGTTTGATGTTGAAAACCTCATTTTGAATGATATTATCTTCACAAATCTATTTTCAATGAAGTTGTAATTGTGTTTCTAAATTGTTAACGATATCAAATGTGCTGTTTTTGTAACGATTTTACATATATCAGGTATTAAAATTAATGCCATTTCAAAATTAAAATGATGATGAAATGGTTGTACGGGAACAAATAATGTCACCCATCATGCAAAAACTAAAACACAACATATGTAATTTTAAGGGGAATCTGCCCAAACCGACAAAACTAGGTTACCTTCCACTGTCGGTAATACGATAATATTTCTTCTAGATATGTTTAATTCCCCCAGCTATACGTGTAACACAATCGCAATTCTGTGATTAAGTTTATCATGCATCATAAAGGGGGAAAGAGAATTATACACGCTGTATACCAACAGTGCATAGGGTCAGTTTGTCCGTGATAAAGTCAGTTCTAAATCAGGTAGAGAGTCGATGTTATTATACTTGTAGTTCTTTGTTACTCGGACAAGAACTGTAACATGGCCATACTATTAAAACGTTATGGAAGGTTTGGTATCTACATGTACTGTACCTAGATTTCGCAGAGTTTGGATTAAACAATATGCATATTATATATTAATAAATATCCAAATAAGATATCCAAAACGTATATCACGGAACCATTCGTATTAAAGTATAAGAGAACCAATGATTCAAACGTGTGGTTTAAAACAAGGATGTACACGTCTCGTATAGACCCCCACCCCCCACCCCCCGCCATTTTAGAGAGTTGCTTGTGACTTGTAAAAATGCAACGGTAAATTACCTTGAACACAAATACAAATCATTCTCTCAAGTGTTGTGTAGTTGAAAATAAGAACAATTAGACGCTACAGACATATATATTTATATATATACATATATATTCTTCAAAGATGAGTCATATGCTTAGATAAAATATTTCCAGTAAAGATGTTGTAGCTATGAACGTTAAATCAACTCCTCAATATCTATTTCCAGATGTGAATCCTATACAAATATATGAATTTCCTCACGTATAAGAATCCTAACTACCTTCCAGTAGTCATGTGTGTCTATTCAGATGCTGAAAGTGGATGAACATATGTGCTGTATTTCTAGACATTTAGTTGATTATTTATGTTAAAAGTAAATTCGCAATGCGAATTGGTCGCGAATTCAAGTAATTTCTTTGTTGTAACATTAATGAAAAACTTCAGTTAGGTATGGAGCTATTTCGCGACTATATATTTCTCTAAATAAAATACGTTATATGCGAAATCATCTCGAATATTAAAATTCGCAAAAAGTCAGTAATGTAAAGATATATGTTTTGCTGAAAAAAATGTAATTGCAAAGATATCAACTTACTTTGAGATTACTTAGATAACAGGGCTTCGGATGTATCATGACCTATTTATTATTCAGTCCTGAAGTATGAAAAGCAACATTTTTCACAATGGAAGGAATTTTCTAAACATGCTCGCTGTCCAATATATCGTTTGGTTTGTATGTCCTTACAAAACAATTTAACGGTTTTATTGTTTTCGGTGCTATGCATAATTTAATCTATACCTCTGCAAAGTATAAAAAGGCACGTGCTGACGTAAAAATAGAATGTCTAGGGGTACCTTCGCATACTTAAAGACGTGATTGAATCTGAGCACTCTGTATGCTATTACGTTGTGTGCTATATTTAGATACACAGCACGTGTTTATGATTAAAGTGAAGAAAAAATAAACATTCAATGTGACTTGTAAGCGCAGGTAAACAGTCAGTAGCCTTGAGAATTATAACCAAATTATTCTGAAACGCGTACTTAATGAATAGGGTTGATTAAATATGACGGCTTAGTTAAAGTATAATATCACCATGGAAACAGTGTACATGAGGACGTCTTTTTCTTGGTTATGTCATTATTACATATATATGAACTAACAGGACTTTTTTCAAAGCGTTATTTTATTCCAAAAGACATCATATTTTTACTAAGTGCCAAAATGTATTACAAAACAGGCATCATTCCAAAATGAAATTTTCAAAAGAAACTGTAAACGTTGATAGCCAGTCACGTTAGACTCATCAAATCCGGAAACCTGTGTAAACTATATATTGGACCCGGAAGTGATCGATCAGATATAGGTTTCAATTTGATACATTATATTTTATTGATCAGAATATTTAAAATTATGTACCCCTTTACAGTGTTGTAAAATTGCCCCTCGGTACACTTTCTTAAAATACAGTGAAACCAGTTCAAATACAAATATCGTAGGACTAAGATGTTTTTATAATGATTGCCTAATTCTAAGGCCAATAGAAAAACTAAAAAGTCTGGTAGGAAGAAATATATTTCGCTTTAAACTTTTTTTTCCTTCTTTATTTTTAGTACACATACTTCATGAATACCCTGATACTATTTTCTTTTTTATTCTGCTATACTTAATTCATATCAACATTGTATTAGATAAATAAACGTATGACCAATATTCAACTATACTCTTATTCATTTATAAAATTCGCAGGAAACAGCAGAACGAGTATTAAATTTCTCGATGATAAGTATCGATTTATTGCTTTAAGAATAAAAATGAAAGTAATCGTATTCGCAACGAATTCCATTCCTTGACGAATTATCTTTAACAATTTGTGCAATTCAGTATCTTTTACTACGTAACGTGTTCATTCAATCTTATTACACCAAATGTGAAATAATAACAGAATTCCTTATCAAAAACGCCGAGTGAAAGATGCAATAACTCATTTTTCTTCGGTAAGTCTCGTAACCAAAGTATGTCACGTTATGGCATACATAGGGCACAGATATTGTTCTTTTTTTTCATTTTGTTTGTGCGGTGTATGCTAAATTCGGCCCAGCCATTGCTGCCTTAAACGATTGCAATGAATATAGTATACTCCAGAAATTAAGGTAACACGTACTGGTCTATGTTACGACCTAAGTGACGATGGCGTTTATGAGACCTTACATCTGTATCTGTATGTACATCAGTATTTATTTGATTTCCACGTTGTTACTCTTCACAAAAACACATCCTTTGTATGTCTCAGTCAGGTAATGAAAACACACAAAGGGTCACAGCGGTAAATTCCGCTTTGGGTTGGTCACAGATATTCTTGACATCTGTGAAATAGTTGTTATTCATAAATAATACGCAAACATAGCGTGTGTGTAACATATGATAGTTAATACTGTTCATGGAGAAGGCGACATATATAATACTCCTTACAAAAAAGGACTCACAATCCGCTTGATCATCCCAGTTTTAACTGCGTGTATGACCGACATACCTCGAACACAAAGTGTAATAATATCTATTTATAGTCTATATAGCTTTTTACTTAAGGCAGCATACATATTGAAATTACATAATCCTATCTTCTTTTCTGAACAACAAACAAGTCACGCCTCCAACATCCCCTGTCTATCATGTAGCACGTGTTTAGATAACAATTCAATACTTACTTCATATATTTGCAATTTTGTTTTTCAAATTAATCAAAATAATAGTTGAATTATCAAAGAATCTGGTATTTTACCAGATAGATTATTATATATTTATGGTAAAACGACGAGAGCAATATTAAGCCCACACAACTTTCTTGTATTATATAGCAAATATTGGATATCAAAGGACGATTTGGTCGGTATTTTCATATTATTTTGCACGGGAACTGTTCTGGTACGTAGGCCGCTAATCTAAACACACATTACACAAGCAAGTCAGATATTCATAAGTTTGTGTTGTTAATTGTTAACATATTTAATTGTAGTACTTACCAATGGTTGTCATCACAGTGATAGCAAAAAGAAGAGAACTTGCAAAAGACCACTGTAATTCGGACTCGCTTTGATCATCTTTGTTGTTCCACCCATTCATTTCCGTCGCCTTCCACACTTCCGTTTGGAAACTCACTAGAAGTGAGTTCACCTCTTTGGTAAAATTATCCCGGCTGCGTTTGTTCATTTCTAATTCAATTGCTAGTTGCATAATTTGCGTGATAGCAGATTCCCTTTCGTTTTTCACACGAATTCTGGTCTGTTGCTCGAATGGAGCTTCGAGAGCCTGGAAAATGAATCCGCCGAGAATGGAATAAGCTACAACGAGGGAACACAACCCTATATGGGAAAACAAGAACGCTATAAATTGCTTACAACAACTGATCACTTTCCGACGTTTTTCTAACATCCGACTCTCCCGTCTTGTTGCTAGGTGACGAGGTGGCGGTATAGCAGGTTCGTCGTCAAGTGGTTCATCCGAGGCCACTGGTTCATCACCCGGTTCAAATTTAATATGTTTCTTTGGAAGGTCATCGTTTAAATCGATGAAGTCATCCACAATGTCTGTTTCCTGTAGTAAAGCGAGTTTACTGAGGCTTAGATTAGTTTCGTTTTCTATGATTACCTTTGTGTCAGTTTTGACATGCGGTTCCCCAGTTTTATCCGATTTTTTCTCCGCGTCTTTTTTCTTGTTTTCTTTCACATCTTCTTTGTCTAATGACTTAACTGATCGCTTACTTGCCCTTCTTTTAGATAAATCCGATTTCTTACGATGTTTTGAAAGTCGTCTTTTCATTGTTATAATGTCCATAAGGGAAAGCTTTTTCGGAGGTTTTGGAGTGTCCTCCTCTTTTTCACACTCCGTGTTTACAATCGGGTCACCTGTTGAATGTTTTAGAATCCCAGCGAGTCTCGGGGCGCTATCAGGTGTGTCAAAGTCCTTTTGTACCTCCGCCGATAGAGTCTGAATTTCACTTAGGGGTGGCAATTTTTTACGCTTAAAAGCTGGAGTGGATTCGGGTGTTTTAAAAACTGAATAATCATCAATTTCTGATATATCAATAGCCATGTCGCTATCTGAGCTAGAATTTCGAGACGATTTTCTCTTTGTTTTATCAAGAATAACTTTTGATGTCGTAATCTTGTCATCAGATTTACCTTGTTCGTCCGAGGAGCAGCCTACGTTTTGTTGGTGTGTTTTCTTCATAATCCCTTCAGCGGTGGTGCGAAGATTCACTTTACTTTTTGACATTTCATCCTTTTTATCATATTTGAGACTTTCCAGCGAGGTTTGAACACTTCTAGATATAGGAGTGCTACGCTTTCGTTTCTCTACATCTTCGATTTCAGATTGTGTTCCCGTTGTATATACCAACGGCTTCGCAACGTTTCCTTTATTTGTTTTCTCTAGCAAGTTATTTGTAACATTAGTAATCCTTGGTGATTCGGATAACAAGGGAAATCCTTTTTTCGGAATGTCTGAAATCGATGCAATATCAGCGTGACTTTTATCATCTTTATGTAATCGCAGTTCTTTCTGTGTTTTTTTCTGTTCTCTTTCGGAGTCTTGTTTTCCTTTGTCGTACACTTTCTCCTCAATCATTTCACCTTGTTTATCCGAATCTTTTGAATCTTTTACTTTGGATTCTTTGTCTTTACCTTTTGATAAACTCCTTCCACTAAATCGCCGAGGAGATTTGTATGTACTTCTTGACAATGTCCTGCTCTGTTTTTGATCTTTTTGATCGGAAGCATCTCTGCCTCGCTCACGAGACTCAGCATTACTAAAATCAGATTCAATATTTTTCTTTTCATCGAGAGGAGTGGTACTGTCGCTTAACTTTAATCCTCTTTTCTCTTTTCTGATCGTATCCTGAGAACCAGTCAGCCACGCTGTTACATGGTCACCACCTTGTGATGCAGGTAGATCTTTAATGTTTTGTTTTGAAAACGGATATGTCCTTTTTTCCTCGACTTTATCTTTACTGTCCTGTAGTATATCATTATTTGTTATCTTTTGCGCTTTGTCATTAACATTTATAACCTCTTGTTCAACCTTAGATTTACCAAGAAACAATGATAAAGAGTCTGGAATCTTACCTTTTGTACATATTTCCGCTTCCGGTATTGGAACTGTCTCACTCTCACTTTTTGTATCATATTTCTCCTCATTATTATGTTTCACTAGTTTAGGTCCAAATGAACCTGAATGTAGAGGTAGATTCTGACTAAGATTCATGAAGTTAGAAAACGATTCTTTACGATTCTTTTCAAGTTGTTCAGCATCAATGGGGTCAGTGGAAGTAGAAGTACTTAGGGTTTTATCAAGGTTACTGGTTGTATGGCTAGAATGAGGGGGTTGTTTGTTTGATTCAAGCGAGTGTGGCGTTGCTACTGAATTCTGGCTTTTAACTCCATCGTTTCCTTCATCGATAAATGCACTGTTAGATACCATGTTTGATAATGGAACGTTGCTAGGAACTGCCTGAGATGTGGATGATGGATCGTTTTTGTTTTCAAGTTGTGTTTCACTTTTAGGGTTTTCATAATTACCCAATCCTGAATGTGTATGACTCACTGGGTCTTTATTTCGTCGTCCTATATCTGCACTAACTGACCTTCTGTATATTTTTTTATCTTCGTCATTTTTCGAAAATGGAATAGAACACTCGATATTTGTGAGATCTGGTAAAGATGACGAATGCGATTCCATAGATTCCGACTTCCCTACACCCTCTAATGTCGGTTTCAATTGGAATACATCCATAGGAGATAACTCACTAACCGGGGACTTACTGGTACTTTTTACCTTTTTAGCTTCCCCAACAGTCATACGTTTAATTTTGACACGTGGATCAGATGGAGAATCAATTTTGTCGACCAATCCAAATTCTCCCGCCAGTTTCCGATCCGTGGGGGTGACAGTGTCCCCTCGCAACGCTGCTACAACTGTGACGTCATTTCCCGCAGCGTCCTGTATCCCACCTGTACTAAGTGACCTTTGTTTCTGAAGTTTAGGCTTCCGGAAAAGATTTTTTAAACTCCGGCGTTCTGAAGTACTCCTTGAACGGGTTGCTCTTGGCAACGTGTTAACTCTTTCATTGCTAGGCTTATTTTCAGCACCATCGACATTTTTATCGTCCAATTTTCTTGTCTGCTCCTTCTGAGACCCGTTTTCCTCTTTATTCTCGTTTCCGGCGACAAACACTTCATCCGTTTCATTTTCTATTGCTATTTTAGGTTCGTTTTCTTTTCCCGCGACTTTCTTTTTCTTTTCTTTCTTTTTCGAACCTTTCCTGCGTTTTGCTTTGACTGCTTGCTCGGTTTCATCGTCTTCGTTCTTCATTCTGTTTTTTCCGGACTACATTTAGGTCTGTACAGTTCAATCACTATAGCTCAATGAAGGGTTGCTATGCCTAATGTCATATATTTAGGTATCGTAGCATTTCGTAGAGTCTCCGAGTAGCACGTGCATAGTCCTTATATCACAGCAGTTTGTCCATCAAATATTTAAAGATCCTGTTTCCACCTTTTGGTAAAGAAATCCTTGCCGGTTTTTTTGTTATTGCTTGCAAGAAAATATATCACATTTTAGAATCCCTATAAACAGAAGTGTGACGTTGTTGAATGTTATTTATTGCTAATTTGATCCATAAATAACATTGAAAAGTCTGTCCCAAACACACGTCTTCATATTTATGTATTACCAACTGTTGTACCAAAGCATGGCTTCTCACTGCGACTGTAGCGGAGAGGGTTCCCTCGTGCGATAGGGTAGTGTAAATGTCCTGATGTATTCGCCACGCGCGCCATCTGTAAATATACACACCGACTCTCTCCTCTGCAGCAAACCGGCCGTGCAAGCATGTACAGTTAGTTCTATCGACTGTCGGCGCTAATTCCACGCGCGTGTATTACTTTGTAAACTATGAACGCCTGCGTTTTATGCCTCTATTGTAGTGCCGGTGTTACTGACACCGATAGAAAGTGTCTTATACAAAAAACGCGATTTAAAAAAAATATATACACATCCTGTATCTGTCGTCTTCCGTGATGTAAAATTAACTTATCACTGTTAATTAGTTAATAGCGGTGAACAGTTGAGTATGACTCGCACTGTTTCTTACTAATTCTCTACTATCATCCAGGTAGTCAGCGTAAGACTACAGAGATTAACATGCCTGATATGTAAACTGCCTTCTGATTGGTTTATTGATAAGCACGTGCGCCCCATGAATAATGACCGATACCTCTCACAGTTTCCTAATAATTAACACACCATGTCAACGTAATGACCTGAAGGACCCTCCCAAATAACTTCTTTTACATCTCAGCATAGAGCCAGCTTGTTGAATCACCGACTTCAGAAGTGAATGAAGTTGTTCATGAAGTTCTAAAAAATAAAAGCGGATCGTAATTACAACACCACCTGTCGGCGTACTTGATTAAGATCAAGACATGTATCTGCATCAAAGTAAATCAATTCCCTATGAAAGACCTTTCTTGTTTTTGTAATTATCTTATCATTGTAATTTGAACTATTGAACTTGTTATGGCTATTTTGGTTGATCAATATTACTGAATGAAAAACATCCGGAAGGCTCGTATGGAATAAGATACACTGTATGCATACTTTCTCATCATATTATTTACATATTATTTACAATTTCACAATGCGTGTTATATGATTATACAGTGACTGTTAGAAAAAACGGGGATTTGGATCCAAAGTAACAAACAGGTTAATTACATTTTGATGAGTGACCGGAGCTTTACCTTGCGCCCTGTGCCTGAAATAGAGAGCTGATCACAATTGGACTGAAATTATTTGTTATTTGCATTCATTTTGGCCTTCACCTGGATATCGCACCTTGACGAGTTACGTAAGTGTCCCGTGTGGGGAAAGCTACGGTCCATGTAAATGTATAGGGTGGCTAGGTTTACCTGTATATGTGGTCCGGTCCATATGTGTTATAATTTTACATGTGTCGATTCGGGTTGTTTAAAAAACATCACCGAAACACCATTTTTAAATTTAAGAAAAAATATAAATATCAGCTTATATATGTAGCTAGAATATAGAAACATATTTCAATAATCAAGTTTATATGTTTGAACACGAAACCGTATATATTGTTAAGCCATTTCTCAATTTACTCCAACCGCGATTGTCATCGCACAACGTTCGTCCATCGTCCGCACAAATGTGCGCAAGCAATAATCGTCCTGATTTTGAGCGTTTGCCCATCGTGCATACATCGTGCACACACCGCACATTGTGTAACGTTGTGCAATCCCACAACTGTATATACAGGTGGTTGATATTTAAAGGTGACTCATCTAAACAGAGGATCGATATTTACAGGTGGCTATTATAGATATAGAGATGATTGATTGATTGATATATACGAGTGGTTGATATAAACATATTGATGGCCGTTATTAACGGGTTGTTGATGTATACAGATGGTCGATATTCACAGGTGGTTGATACATAAATATTGTCGATATACAAATGGTCGTTACAGTATTTACGGGTTGTTGACATATAGAGATGGACGATATTTACAGGTGGTTGATATATACCGGTGATCGATATTTACAGGTGGTTGATATATAAAGATTGTCGTTATTTACAGGTGGTTGATATATGCAGATGATCGATATTTACAGGTATTCTTACATATATCTATTGGTTGATTAATTCTATAATTCAATACTTGCAAGGAGAAACGGCTTTTGGTATGTAGTTGTTTTAAAGCGAATAAATATGTAGGTCGAATAGTGTTTGAATGTCTTGTTCTTTAATCTTGAATGTCTTTGTACATGTACATTAACCGTATGCGTCTAAAACTTGAGGACTGTAACACTCAAACACGCATCTGACCCGCAAAGGTGATACATTACATTCAGCTTGTAGCTTAGTCGATAAACAGGTTTATATACCAACGAAAATAAATATTAACATCAACTGCGCTTTAAGATTACTTCATTCTTCATGGTTTATGCATTTATGTATCGACCTCTGTCGAAGTCTATGTTTGTATAATAGACTCTATGTCTTCCACGTTATACAAATGTACAGGCATACAGGCGCTGTATCGTGGCTGTGATTCATTACGACTATTGCGACATACAATATTGGAACTGGACCAAAATAAAAGGTCGAGCGGATCAAATTTAACGTAGACATGATGTACACCGACTGACAGTAGTCATGAAGGACGTGGACAGATTGGAACCTATGTATGTCTGGAGGCTGAGAGTTGAGAGGCTCAGTGCTGTACAGTGTATATTGGGGGCATGTAACTTTCTGTTGTTTTTGAAGAATGAATATGGCACCTCTACCCCTACTAAGTCTTACGTCATTCATTAGCCTTGAATTTTTCCCATTTTTTAAAATTGTAACAAGACTAATTGTAAACTATTTTCCGGGTGGAGTATTTTTTTACTTAAATGTCGTTTTGTTGAATTTTCTTGTCGCATCTATTCGTATGTTTCGACAAACACATGTGTTTATTTGGAAACTGACACGATTTCCTCGCTTTCCTCTTCGGAACGTTCGTCAGTTTTAATTAGCATCGACGAAAAAAGTTAAACAATATAAGCCAACATTTTGGAACTGTTTGAATCCTTGCTATTCTTTACACGTTGTTTATTAGACAAATCAAATCACAACTTCGTTTTTTACGTGTATATGTACAAAAACTCAAATTTTATAGGTCGATTTTTTCTTTTCATGTGAAAAAACCACAAGACAATTTACACATATAAACTTTAACGAAGACGTCATAACAACGTCAAACAGCAACGAATGATGACGTCACTTTGACTATTGTTCCTGGAGTTGAAAACATTACTCTGGACATGCTGTATTATGTTCGCCGTTTTACGGAAACCATCAACTGCGAATTCCACAATGCAGCGAAAAATTCCTCTTCCAGACATTATTGAAAGACTAAAAAGAGTATAACAAGAATAAGAGTACAGTTTCATTTGTTCAGTTTAAATTTCACAGAACGAATTCTGGTACTTCTTGATGAAAACGCAAACACTCTCCTGTGCTAATTCAAATCTGTATACAGCAGGGCAAGTGGTAAACAAGCGTTTTTTACTTATTTTTTTTAACTTATTTTCAAGTTGATGAGAATGTTTTTAATTGTCATATAGGTAAGAAAATAGGCATAATCTTTTTTTAAGTATATGCTCTTCTATGTCGCAGGGTCTCTTTTAATTTTATTTCTAGTCACAAGCCCTATTAATTGATTCAAACTCCCATTATTGTTGTGGTCTGCAGGACTACTGTGAAAACTATTTATTGAAGGAATGTTTTCACCCCAAAACTATTCTTAGAAATGTTTAAGGGCAATACTACATAAAATAGCGGCAAGATTAGTGTGTGTCTAGGTGTACCTACTTAATTAAAGGCACGCGTTTACAGAAAGCAGACACTGCACTGGATAATATGTATATAATAAAGCGTTTATGTGAAGCAGAAGTTCTACTGACCCGCCTGGAGAAAAAAAAACAGTCCGGCTGTACATATCTAAATGTTTAAGAGAAGCAGACGTTGTATGGACCACAGTGTATGCATGTACATATTAAACGCTTTATGGGAAGCAGAACGTGTGGCCCAAGGCTTAAAAAAAGTGCAAAACTAAATATGCATGCAAAGAAGACGTTGTACTGGCCTAGTGTGAATAAACATACATAGTCAAGCGTTTATTGGAGGCAGTAGTTTTGTCGGTTAACCCTGAAACGGATTTAAACATAAAATAATGTTAGATTTGCAGCGGTGGTGTCCTTGACAGCACAGAACTCTGACGTCATAATTGATTTAAATTGAAAAAAAAACATTGTATTTTGATAAGAGAAAATTGGTTGTTTTTTTTTAATTTGAAGATATTTATTCAATCTACTCTATGTTTAAGTTTATGTTTAAGTCCATGGAGTAATGTTTGTACAAGCACAGTTCCTCAAGGATAAGAAATTAATGTATAAATACCAATTATCAGTAATTCGTCCCAGATTCCCACTGGGTGATCTTCAAGGCGATCTAAGCCCTTCTATCTGGCTGCTGTTATTTATTAAGTTTGTGTTTCTTTTCTACAGTAATTTTGTGATTTCTTTAAGGTGTAGATTTATTTATTTCCATGCCAAAAACGTTTATCCCACAAGTCGATTTTTTATGTTTGTTAAAGCTCAAAACACAAAAAAGTCCCGTTTCCCGGAATAAAATACAATTGGATTATCATAACAGACAATTTAGACAAACTTCTGGCAATAGTTTTACCGAATCAGCTCTGTAATTACATTTTCTATAGTCCACATATGATACCACACAGCAACTTAGTCATGTTAAAGATCTTACCACTGGTCTTACAAAACCTGATTTTAAATTATTTCCGCAGTCCCCATGTTCATCACGTGCACACCTCCTGCTATTGGTACAAGTGCCTGAGCCCTAAGCTGGCAACATGTTGACGAGAGTTTGAGAAAGACTGATGACAAAATAACGGAGTATGATAAATTACTGGATATGTTTCATTAACAGTCATTGATTGGACCAGTATAACATTTCCAATATCTCTGCGGTAGTCTCGTCATAGAACCTGAAATAAGCATCGCTAAATCGATGTCCCCTGTCTGAGCACTGTTCATCTGTGTCATAATTTGTCAAAGCAATGTCCCAGATTCTTAGGGAGTTATTGGCTTTCGGACCTGTAGACCTCTAGGCTATGACGTCAGAGAACGCGGGACGGACTTGTATTTCGTTAATTAGCGTAGAAGTCGTATTAAAATCTAAATATAAATATGTGAGAGAAATTGATTATATACCGAAATAGAAATCAAAATTGTTCCATTGCAGTGATTGACACATAAATGGATTACCATTGAATTAGTTTATTGTGAAATCGTCACCGCGATCGCAGTTACATGTAACTCACCGTATCTCAGGTTTTTGCTGGACTATTTGAATACGTAATTCTAAATGTATTTGAGAGGTGCACAAATAAGCTAAATGGTGTATATGTACAAACGATAAAGTTTAAATCCAACTCCGGAAGAAAAAGAGTTCCAAACTAAAAGTTAAATCTACCTGAACAGGTTCGAGGAAAAACTGACCTGCTGTATCTCAT